ACAACTAGAAGAGTGGTCATTCTCGACTATTAATTCTGATAATATTAAAAATAAATTTGGAGATGAAACACTTGTAGAAGAATTAGAAGATGAAAATTTAACAGAGAAAAGCAGTAATTTTGAGACATCAAGTATTGATGGTTTATCTACTACTTGTAGTTCTTTTTGTTCATCACAAAATGTGAATGACAGTTTAAAACGACGTGTTGAGAAGTTAGAGGTAAACATTTTTGTTAAATTGATAGGGACGGGATCTCATCTCACCTGTATAACACTTCACTTGCATGGCACTCCCATTTTAAAAACATTTTCTCGTTAGCTTTAGTTTTACACAAAGATGTCATGGGAGTGACTTCGGCTGTTTGCGTAGATTTAGAAATACAGGGTAGAAGTCTCTCCTAGAATTCTTCATTTCAAACGAAAATTTAGAATTTATTTTTTGATGAAATTTTTGATTCGAATGATATATAAAACTTGAGAGAAGATTTTTGAGATTTGATTTTTCCCCAACACTTAGTATGGGGGATTCAGGAATCAATTTTCTTTTTAAAATGAAAAAAATTATAACCAACACAAAAGCTATCGCCAATTTACCGCATCTGTAAATTATAGTATTTTAGGTTAAAATGGCAAAGAAAAATTTATCTTTGAAGATAAATCATTTTGATTTACAAAAGGCAAGTTTTCTTCATTTTTTGTTTATTCCAAAAGTGTTTGGTAAATCTACCTAGGAGTTAAAATCGAAAAATTCGGGCTGATAAAGGTGACTCATGATTAAGAATATGTTTGCCTGCTTTCTTTTGCATAATCCGACGGTTGCTCTCGAGAGTATTTCCGCCCTATGTCTCTTAATCACCCTTAATTACAAAAAATTCGTCTTCATCCGTCGACATCCCCCTTATTAATTTGCCTTCTGGGTTGATCACTGAAATTCAGCACTTTTAGCGATAAAAAGACTAAATTCAATATATTTTCAGGAAATTCAGAAACTACGTTCTGAACATGAAAGTGAAATAAAAAATTTAAAACAAAATTTTCAACAATTCATTCAAGAAAATAATAAAAAATTAAAACATGAAAATGATGTTTATTTGAAGCAGAAAGACGAAGAAATTAATTCTTTCAAAGAAGAAATTAAACAAAATTTAGAACGAAAAGATGAGGAAATTAAACTTATGATAGAAGAAAATAAAAAGGTACAAATAAATAAACTTTGATCGGCTATATAAAAAAACTTTGATCGGCTATTGATCGGCTATAACTTTTTAAGCTGTGATCCAATACAAATAAGTTTTATATTCGAAAGCCTTCAATAGGCGGTATCTTTTTTTAACTTGATGGATCAAGTCTGATCACCGGTTAAAAATTTATAACTCGATAAGTGTGAAAAACAACGATTTCCCGCACTTATCGAATTGTAACTTTTAACCGGTGATCAGCCTTGATCCATCCATTGGAAAAAAAGATACCGCTTATCTAGGGCTTTCGAATGATATAATAATTATTAGGAGTGATTCAAGCACAAAGAAGTTATAGCCGATCAAAGTCGGCTGGCGCTCAACCGGCGGGGCTCAACTAGCCCGCTCCGATATTGACATACCCGAGATCGATATGCAAGATTTGACCAGATATCGAGATCGATATTAGATATTAACCGGCAATCATCTGCCATCCCTCAAATCTCTTGTTATCCACGGTTTAAGAGTTAAAACTAAATCATATTTTCAATTCGGTACTATCCGAAAGGAATCTTTCCTTTCTTCCTCGAATTGGAAAGAAAAAGTTAATTTTTCAATTTTATACTTGCATGATTTTTGCCGTAAGTCCAAAAATTTTCTGATATCGGATTCGGATATCTGAAATTTTCGTTTTATACTAGAATTGCAAAAAAAGGAAGAAATCTGGCCCACTGGAGCTTCAATCTACTCAAAATTTTCGCCTGCGGCGTTCAAAAAAGGAAAGACTCCTGATCAATGAAGACATTTGATTCACTACCGAACTCAGTTTTTAGGTGTTATTGGACACTAACCCTCTCAAGAGGAAAAACTAAATTTTTTGCTCCATTTTACCGTATGTCAAGAACAAATTACCGATTTCTTTCCCCTTAGAGGAAGATAGAAAAAATGGATGCCGGCTTTCCTCTAGGATAGTGCCTCAAATTCTGATTTGGAGTTAAAACTAAATTTAAAAATTATATAATTTTAAAAATTGCAAAATATTTTTTAAAGTTGCATAATCAACACGATGATTTAATTAAACTTCAAACTAATTTTAATAATCTTAAAATAGAATTTAATGAAAAGAAGGGAAAGACTGTTAGTTTAGAAGATGAATTAAAGGGAATGGATAAAGTTGGGATTTTTTAAATATTTTTTAAAAATAATGGTAATAGTTTGGAATTCGCCCCCCCCTTTTTTTCCTTTCTATTTTTTCCTAGTTTTTTCTCATTTTATGACAAATTATATATCATTCGAAAGAGCTCTTCAAGCTGAGTCGAATGACTTTAAGATCAACGAAATCCGACTTAAGTGAACAAAGTTGTGACCGTTTATTTTATCCCCTTGCATTAGCACAAAAAGTTTGCCCAAACTAGGATTTGGCTTCATAATTTTGGTAAAATTGATCAGATCTGGCCAATCATGGTATCATTCGACCACGCTCGAAGAGCTCTTTCGAATGATATATGATAAATTATGTATCAAACAAAAAAGCTCAAAATGGTCAGGGAAACGGTGAAAAAAAGGGGGGGGCGAATTCCAAACTATTACCAAAATAATTTTAGACAATTCAAAAAATAAATTCTGAACATAAAAATGAGATTGAAGAAATGAAACAAAATTTTAAGAGATTAATTGATGAAAATATTAAGCAATTAAAAGATGAAAATGTTCGAAAAGATGAGAAAATTAATTCTTTGGAAGTTGAAATTAAAAAGGTAAAAAAGAATTATAATTTAGTTTTTACTCAAAACTAATTTAAAAAAAACTAACAAGGCCAAGATTTCGGAGCTGCAAAATGCTAAAAACCTAGCTAAATTAAAAAGCTAAAAAACCTAGCTAACCGAAAATGTTGATTAAAGGTACTTTTCCATTATCTCCCCCCATTTTCCTTTCCTTTTTTTCTTTTCAAAATGGTATCAGACTAGATAGTGATTGTTGGTAATTTATTGGTAAAAACATTTTACCACTAAACTAATTCTGTAAATTCCCATGAAATGAAGTTAAGCATTGGAGTCAATATTCGAGTCGGAAATTAGAGAGAAGTCAAATTCCATTTGTTACTGTCCGCTTAATCTACTCATTGTCCTTAGAAAAAATCACCTTCAAAATGCTTTTTTATTTTGATAAATTTTATTTGCTTTCAATTCCTCTTGCGTGAACATTATTTGCCTTTGACCATTTTGAACGGAGAAAAAGGAAAGGAAATGGGAGGAGATAACGGAAAATTATTCTTTTAAATTTAAAATAATTTAAGAGAAAATGATTTAAATATTTAAAATAAAAAATGTTTTTAAATTAATTAAAATTTTATTTAATAAAGGTAACTGATTTGATTGACAAAAAGATAGGTGATTTATTTAATTACAATAATTTATGTTCTGTGGTTAGTTTATTAAATAATATGGTATTTGTTCAAATTAAAAATAAATGGAGAGAAATTGATAGTGGATACAAATGTTGTTCAAATAATTGTATAAATACAAACAAACCTATTGGAAATTGCATTACAGGAAATGGATTTGGAAATATAATGAATGATGAAAATATTAAATATTTGCTGGGGAATGGAGGTAAATTACTAGGGTTTCGCCGGAAGTTCCGGTTCCGGGTTCCGGAAGTTCCGGTGTTTTTTTGGTTCCGGTTCCGGTTCCGGGAACCGGAACTCAAATTGGTTCCGGTTCCGGTTCCGGCTCCGGTTTACAAATCGGTTCCGGCCAAACCGGAACTTTTTTACACCCCTAAAGATTGGTTTTTTTTTAAAAATTAATGAACTACTCGTACTCGCGTACTTGGTATTAAAAGAAAAATCGAAAAAAATATGTTTAATTTCTTTCGTCCCCCTCATATGACCGGGTGGCCCAGTGGTTAAGGGGTTAGACTTCACCCAAAGCATAGATGATTTAAAGATGGGTTCTATGCCTTGTCAGAGAATAAAGAATTTTCTTATTTTTCTTTCCATAATTAATTTATTTTATGAGTTTAATCTTGTTTTAAAAGTTATATTCTATTTTTACATTGAGGAAGTAGGGCCTTTTGGCTCTCCAAAATTTATAAAATTCCTTGTTCGACAAAGAAGAATGGTTAATTTTTTCGCCCAAGGCCTTCTGAAATTTTAAAAAATTTCGCCTGCGGCGCTGAAAAAAGAAATCTGGTAGCTTATTTTTCTAGATTTCTTTAAAATTTTCGCCAGCGACCCTAAAAAAGAAAGTTGTATGTTATATCGGAGGATTTGGATGGATTAAGGTGGATTTTGTTCTATATCGTACCACTCCTTATTCCACTGATATGCCTAAAATCACCCTTACAATTCCGAACCTTTATATATCCCGTTATCAAACACGTATATCCGACAAATACCACTTAATCGCTGACAAATTTTCGGTTCTGTTTCGGATAACCGAAAAATTTGGTGAAACCGACAACCCTGCTTAAAATAAAAATTTTTAAAAATTTTCTAGCAAAATTTTTAAAGTTCCGGTTCCGGTTCCGGTTCCGGGCCGGAACTTAGAAAAGTTCCGGTTCCGGTTCCGGGAACCGGAACTCAAATTGGTTCCGGTTCCGGTTCCGGTTCCGGTCAAAATTTCGGTTCCGGCGAAACCCTATAAATTACCTATTTAGAATTTTTGGAATTACAAAAAAATATTTTTAGGCTATGATCAAAATGTTGTAGTTTATGCAGAAAATTCCTTCAAAAAACCACAAAATTCTTTCAATTATTCTTTATATTATTTTGAAGTCAAATGTAAATTTGAAAAGAAAATAAATGGTAGCAAATCATATATGGGTATTGGTTTTAGAAACTGTAGTACAAACAATTATATTTACTATTATGCAAAATATGGTTACATATATAACGAGAAATGTGAAATCTTTAAACTTTCACCATTCTCTTGGAATAATAACGATACTTTTGGTTGTGGATTAGTTTATCCTCCAACTAATATGGCGAATCAATTGCCTTATATTTTTTTCACACAAAATGGAGAACAAATTGGTAAATAATTAATTAAAATAATCATACAAAAATTGTCTTTTAAGGTAAAGGTTTATTATTAAAGGACAATTTCGATTCATATAAACCTCGTGTTTGGCTGTATTGTTGTTCTGGTGAAGCTAATTTTGGAAATAATTTGGAAGCCAAACCATTTGAATACGCCGTTTCAAGTCATTTAATTTTTAAAGAATTTTATTGAAGATTTGTTTCTTTAATTTTACTCATTTTGATTTATATATTTTTTATTAATTGAAATAACCAATTTTTTTTGTTTTGAATAAATATTCTTTCCTTTTTTATTAAATTATTGCTCTATATTATATGTAAATTTAATTTTTATTTTTTTGTTTGTGTCATACTCTAATATTTTTAAAATAAATTTAGCCTGAAAGTCTTCCAATTGATCACAAAAAATAATTTATTTTTATAAGCAAAATTCGGAAATTAAATTTAAAAAATTAAAAACGTTTAGATTATTCATCTAATTATCAAATACTACTAAATAGGTTACTACTAAAATTTAAAATAAAAAAGCTGCTAATTAATTTTTACTTTATTTGTAAATTTATATCCTCCATCTAGTTTGAAAATATTTTTTTTGAATTTATAAATTTAGTCATCAACACTTTGTTGATTGACCACACATACTGTTGATTGCCTTTTTTAATTTTCAATTTTCTATCATTTTTAATTTTTTTATGTTGGTGCTAGAATAATTATTTTTTTACTTAATATTTTTAAATAATTTTAATAGATAAATTTTTAGTTTTTAAATCATTTAATTTATATATTCGGTTACAACTTGAATTTGATAAAGTGTCACATAAACGATTATATAGCCACCCTACAACACTGATATATAATCTAAGATGTTCCAGATCATTATCATGATTTCTTGAAATATAACAGTACATCCGTCTGCGGTCAGTCCTTGTAGTGTGCTTATAACTAGATTTAAGTTTAAATATTAAAAATTTTCTTAAATTTTCGTTAAGATGGTTATAGTGACTAAAGGCATTTTTAGCTACTATAAAAAATTTAATTAATTTATTCCATCCAAGAAATAAATTTTTCTGTTGAATCATATTTTTGTTGATTTCCTTTTTTAATTTTATAAATAAATTTATTAATGTGCATACTAATATTAAATTTTCTGTTAACACATATTTTTAGTTTTTACTTTAGTTTAGCTTTAGATAAAAGATTTTTTTAATTTATTCGTTAGCAGTTTTATACTAATAGTAAATGAATAAATTTAACCTCTAATTATACCTCATTTGTCATATCCTCAAGTGCGTATCCTCAATTGTCGCAACACCCTTTGAACGTGCTTGTTTTAATAGATTTGTATTTAATCCAGAAATGATTAATTTATTATTTGATAACGACAAAACAATTCCATTACAATTTCATATTCAAAAACCTTTTATATCTATTCACAATAATATAATTAAATATATTTTTAAATTCGCTGATAATTATTTGGCAGTTTCTGAAACTCTTAGTATTTATTCTTTCGAGAATTCAGAGACACGTACAAATATTTTATTCAATATTTTAAAAAATGAAGGCAAAAAAATTCCAAAATTTCGTTTCTTTGGACTTAGAACGACAAGGCTTCATGATCTTTTTGTTGATGTGAGTAAGTACATATAGAGCTTCGCAGGAAATTCCGCTTCCGGTAGGCCGGAATTTCCGTTATTATTTGGTTCCGGTTCCGGTCCTTAAGTTCTGGTTAATCTGAAACTTTTTAAACCCCTAAGGACTTTCACTTAGAGAAAATTTTCTTTACATTTTTTTAAATTTTATTCTAAAAAGTTTTCTTTTGCCTTGTTTATAGGCCTGGTCTAATATAAATTTTTTCTTGGACAAGTTTATAACCTTTAACAGGTAAACAAAAATACACAAAAATAAATAAGGCCTGAGAAAACATAGTAAAATTAAAAAAATTTTTTTTTTGTAAAAGGCCTAATAGAAATATCTACTATCAAGATATTTTACCTCGCAACTTTTAGTTGAATTTATAATAATGTTACAGAGCTAATTTAATTTAAAAAGGATAACATAATATTAATATAAAATTTAGTATATAACAACATCGACGGAAGTAGACAGTTCAAGAATTGTAGCTGCTATTGACTATCATTATAATTCACTTAACAATTTTGAATTGAACGAGAAAGCAGAAAATCTTGAAATTGATCTATTAAATTACATATACTATACAAAATACCAACTTTCCAATATTCACAATCCAAAAGTGAGATTTTCATTTTGCTATGAAGCAATGAAAGATGATTCTATTTATCTCATTCAAATCAGAAAAATGAAAGAGGAATAAATTTTTATTAATTTGTTGACACTCGAAATTGCAAAATATTTTTAAATTTTCTAAATCTTTGATTAAATTTTTTTAATCTATAGGGCATTTGCTTATAGTGAAGGTCCTCTTAATAAGGACTTTCACTTTACACTTTTCAATAAATATGAGCCAAAAATCATATTTTCTATCTATAATTAGGTTGGTATGATAGAGGTTTTGATGTTGAAGTTGAAAGTAATTATTTATTAATTTTCGCGTTGATTTCATTTATTTCTAAAAGTAAGTTAGAACATCTATAAATAAAAAAAAGTCAACTGCCACTAATTCTCCGCATACTCCCCACTGAGCGGACTCCAAATCTCCGGACACGGTTGAGAATATAGCTTGAAAAATAATATTTAACAGAAAAACGAAAAGGACACATTTAAAACAAATTTTTAAAATTTATAATGAATAATTTTATCAATTATTTCTCTTAATAATAATTTCATAAACTGGCTCATTATTATGGTTTTGATCAGTATAGTCGATATTTATTTGCTTATTGTAGGTTGAAGAATTGTATTTGTTAGAAATCTGATCATTTGTAAATTTTAGTTTGTGGAGAGGTCCAATAAAACCATAGAATTTAATTTCCTTCACTGTGTTTGAAATGTTTTTTGATGTTTCTATATGCTAAAATTAAATAATTTTTTGAAAAATTATTCGGGAATCAGGATTTCCGAAAAATAGTCAATTCGATTTTTAGGAATTTGAACTAGTCAATCTATAAATCGGTTAAAACCTAGCTAAACCAAGAATAGATAGGGCCTGCGATTACGGGTTTATAGTTTTGGTATTCTTGTATTATCCGCCGCCATTTTCCTTTTCTCCGAATTTGATCAGCTTTAACTTTTTATGCTTGATCAAATCCGAATATCCTTCAAAAAAGATTTATATTTAGTATGAGTTCGATTTTCAGGAATTGATTTACCTGTATAATAAGGTCATGAATTAAGGTGTTATAACTACAGCAAACTGTTGAAAATTTATTTGCACCATTTGTTAAAATTTTGATTATATTTTGCTGTTTGCCAGAATAAATGGTTAATTTATTAGCAATCAGATGATTCAATGCAAATTTTTCAAAGTCATTGTTGGTAAGAAATATAAAAGCTTTTTCAGAATGAATTTGTAAAGGTATATTTGTTTTATTTCCATCAAATAATAATTTAATCATTTGTGGATTGAATATAGCTTTAAGAAAACTAGCAGTTTCAAAGACACATTTAAAAAGTTGATCAAGTAAGTAACGAGCAATTTTCATTTCTTCAATATTTTTTGGAAAATTTGGAAGTATTGAGCAGAACACTAAATATAATTTTAAATATAATTGCATTTTACTAATCTTTACATGGTGCTATCGATAGATTAAGGTGGATATCTTTTGGTGTTTTCATCTTGACTTCGCTACACGATGCCATGCTTCGCTACGGTCGCCTTCGTTCCGCTCGACAATTTTGAGCCAAGTATGGAAAGTTTAGTTTAGCCGAAATTTTTTAAAATTATACAGGGGACTGGGCGGGGGGGGGGGTGGAATAGGTATCCAAGAGACGTCCATCCTAATCTAACGATCTCATACAATTTTAATTATAGCTTTAATTAAATTACCCCATTCCGATCTATAAATAGCAATATGCATGTTTCTTTCATCAACACTTAAAAACATAGGAATTGATTTTTCTATTCCTTTTATCCACTAAAAATCTATTTAACTTGAAATAAAAATATTAATTTTTAACCTTTTTCTCAAGATGTTTACTCAATTGAAATTCAAAATGAATTGGGTTTGGCTTAATAATTTTAGTAGAACGTATAAAGCTATTATGAGTATAATGCTAAAAAATAAAAATCAATAGAATAAATTTATGAACTACAATCTCGAGTCTATCGAATTCCTTCCGTGCCAGTTCTTCATCATATTTATTAATAAAACCTCTGAAGTAAAGATTTGTCTGTTGCATAGATAATAATTGATTGAATTTCAAATATTTAAATATATCAAGTTGAACTTCAGATGGAAGCAAATACATTTTTAATGAAAATTTTCTTTAATTAATAAACCAAAATTCTAAAATAATCGCAATATTATTATCAAAAATAAAAAAAATAAAAAATAAAAGAAAAAGAACATTAGGGACTTTTTTTAAGAAATGTTATTTTTGGCAATACGAAATTTAATCTGAATCGTGTCTGACATTGATCCAACTCGTGTCTACTCACCTATTCAAATTATGACATTTTATATCAACTCGTTTTTGTAGAAGTTTAATATATTTTAATTAGTGACCGGTAAAATCGATTTTTCCGGAACCGGATTCCGGATTTCCAACTAGAGCCGGACCGTATCCGGCCGAATTTTTCCGATAAACCCGGTCCGGTTTTAATCCGGAAATTAAAAAACCCGGATTTGGGACCTGGAATCCGGAAAAATCCGGCCTCCGGTCCGGCCCGTGTCTCTAATTTTAATCAGTGTTTAATTAATTTCTAGACTCATTTATGTAGTATGTTTTTATTTTCTGGTTAATGGAAAATCTCATCTGTAAATTCCACGTCAGTAATTCCTCGTTCAGTGAAACTTTCAGAAAAGTTTAAAAATAACTGTTACGAGATTAGTCTTTTAAAATCTCGTGCGTTATATAGTCTCGTTTAAATTTTATATTTCTTTCCAGACTAAAAAGTTGATATAAAAATGAATCTTCTTTTACAAGAAATTCAGCTAGATATACATACATATTTAAATGTCTTGATTTTGATTAATTATTAAATATTCAGAAAATAAATCGTTACTTCAAAAATCAAATCAAATCAAATTTATACGCATCAGCGCGACGATTTCAGACAATAATGTTATGAAAAAACAAATAAAATAAATAAACGTAAACAAACGATTTCCTTAACATAATTTAAAAATTGTAAAAGTGTCTTTTAAGGTGATTTGGGAGTGAGTCAATAAATTGGGATATATCGAAAGTGACTAGGAGTCGACTAAAGTGATCGGGAGTTGAATTGCGCATGTGTTGAGGAATAAATTTGTATAACCGAGCCGTCCTAACGAAAAAGGAGTGGAATCTGGCTTTTGTGTTACATGCTATAGGTAGAATGTTTTGGAATCCCCTGGTATTAGCTTTATTTATAAAATACGAATTATTGTTTTTGATTGATATAGTCCCACAAACATGTTGGTGGAATAAATTTAGATCGGCTTTAATTCGTCTATACATTAGGGATTCTTGTTTAAAATAGTTTAGTAAATCAGGATAGTCGGGTAATTCGGTTTTGGGGTTAATACGTCTAAATACCCAACGGAGAAAATCCTTTTGAACTTTTTCAATAGATTTAATATCTTTCTCAAGATGTGGATTAAATACGGGAGAAGAAAATTCTAAAATAGGACGGACATAAATATTGAAAAGATTTGTGAGGATTTTAGGGTTCTTACTTTTAATTGATTTGAAAATGGAATATGAACATCTAATTGCTTTACGAGTAATTATATTGATATGTTTTTCCCATTTGAGGTCATGGGAGAAATATATGCCCAGATCACGAACTGAATCCTCAGAGGTCTGAGGGATAACAATATTATTAATGAAATATTTGGTTGATGGGTTAAAGTTCCCTAAATATAAAACGGAACATTTTTCTATAGCAATTTTAAGGCCGTTGAGATGACAATATTCTTCGAATTTATTTATGAAAATCTGAAGGGGAAATTCATTTGTTATGTTATTGAAAATATTATAAGCTTTTAGATCATCTGCGAAAAGTTTGATAGTTATTCCTTTTGTTGAACAATAAGCTGGGAGATCAGATATAAAAGTAATAAATAATAAAGGACCTAAAATGGATCCTTGAGGGACACCGCTAGTGCAGTGTTTTTCCTCGGAGTATTGATTGGATACACGCACAGTAAATGTGCGATTTGTTAAGTAATCATTTATCCAGGAAAGAAGATTCCCTTGAATTCCCACTTTATAAAGTTTTGAAATTAGAAGTGTATGAGGAACGGTATCAAAGGCCTTAGCCAGATCAAAATAAATTATATCAACGGAATATTTATTTTCCAAAGCAAATGTAAAATCGTCCATCACCTCAAGTAATTGGGTTGAGACTGAGTGAGATTTACGGAAACCATGCTGGCATGCAGGTAGAATATTGTGGGATTCGATAAATGATTGAAGTTCTTTTGAGATTATTTTTTCAAGTATTTTTGATGAGGAACAGAGAAGGGAAATTGGTCGGAAATCTATTGGGTATTGTGGATTTGTTTTCTTTGGGATTGGATTTATAATAGCTTTTTTCCAAATTGATGGTATTTTAGAGCTAAGAATTGACAATGAAAAAATATGAGTAAGAGGGATAACAAGTGCATCTCTACATTTTTTGTAGAAGATGTTTGGAACACAATCAGGAGATGTATTATTGGAATTTTCGAGCTTAGATATTGTATCGAAGACTATTTGTGGGTCGATGGAAATTGTTTTGATTGTTGGTATTTGAGGATGGCGTGAGAGAAAAAAGGGTTGAGAAGAAAAATTTGGATTGGAAAAGACAGATACGAATTGATCGGCCAAAATATCTGATTTAATTTGGTTTGAGAAAATGAGTTGATTATTTTGGCCGATGAGAGAAGGCATGTTTGGATTTTTAGGTTTTATGAATGATGAAATGTAATCAAATTTTGTTTTGATATTACTGAGTTTTTTGTTTTCCCTATTTCTTATAAATTTGGAGATTTCATATTCAAGTTTATTAGAAGTTTCTATAAATTTTTTCTTAATATGGGGTTTGGAGATCCCTTTCCATAAATTTTTGCGATATTGGTGAAGTCGTTGGATATGAGCTGGAAAGTGTTCAAAAGAATCTGATTTGTTTGATAGGGGTACACATGATCGGATAATAGTGTGAAGAAATGATAGAAACTTATTATAGCATGATTCGACGTCGATACAATCATAGAAAAATAGAACCCAATCAATATTGGCAAGAATACCATTAATATGTGAATAATTGGCTTTATTGAATTGATACCTAGGGTTGGATTTAGATCGGGATTTAAAATTAAGCTTAATGTCGAAATTAATGGAGTTATGATCAGAACCACCCATTGGGGCCTCGACAGAAAGAGAAGATGTTAGAGATTTATCAGAAGTAAGAACTAAATCAAGATAATTTTGATTCCTAGTAGGGGCTTGGACAATTTGTTCAAGATTGCTCGAGTGAAAAAATTCCAGAAAAATAGATTCAGAAGGTGTTAATGTATTTGGGAATGGATTTGTGCTTGCCCAATTAAAGTTCGGGAAATTAAAGTCGCCTAATATATAATATGGGTAATCAATAGATGAAAGAATTACTAAACAATCAATAAGAGAGGTAAGATGTTCCAGGGTTTCTTTTGTCGTTGGTCGATAAACGACAATGAGTCTTATTTTTTGTTGGTTCAAAGGGGAAAAGACATCAATACAACAAATATCGGAATTTGGAATTTTAGGGACCTTAATTTTCTGGAAGGGGATTAAGTCGGAAATAAGAATAGCCACTCCACCCCCTTTACGGGACTGCCTATCGGAACGGATTAGATGATAATTAAAACCTTGGATAATTACTGAATCTTCAATTTTAGAATTTAACCAAGTTTCGGAAAAGGCCAAGATATGGAATTTATTGGACATCAACACCATACGCAATTCGTTGAGTTTATTGAGAAGACTCCTAGTGTTACAAAAGAAAATTTTTAAAAAATTAAAAGACCTCAAAAGTTTTTTTGTTTACGTATCGAAACCTGTGGGTTTGGTAAGTTCTTTTCAGCTTCCTTCATTTTCTTGTTCATCTCCCTCTGTTCTCTGTCCTTTTCCAACTGTTCACGTGTCAAAGACGGCCTGATCAAGAGACGGTTAAAAATTGGAATTGTTCGGATTTCAGGACGTTTGAACTTCCACTGCCGAAGAGCAAAACGCTGTAAAGAAGAAGCGGGGAGAACGCACTTGAGTAAACGCGGCCCACCTGACGGGGTTGGGATTTTGCCAAGGCGGTAAACAACCGCTTCAGTTTCGACTCCCAACCGGTCGAACAGTTTTTCCACAGTTTCACGATCAAATTTGTTTTTTGCTGTTGCCGTTGTTTCATTATTTTCCGGGACACCGATCAATACTAAGGAACGCTGGCGCTCCATAGCATGAGCCGGGTCTTCGTTGTTGTCGTTGTTTGTGTTGTTGTTGTTTAAAATTAAATTTTCCAAATTACCCAATTTTTCTTCCAATTCAACCATTTTCGTCAAAACTGCTGAAACATCAATCGATGATGTTGTCGTTGTTTGCTGCTGTTCTTGTGCTTTTTCAATTTTTGAAATTCGTTGTTCAATAGAAATTAATTTGTTTAAAATTTGTTGCATTTCATTTTTATTCGCCATAGTGGCGTTTCCAATAAATCAATAATCTGAAATCTTAAACTTGGGTAATTAAACCACTCAAAAATAGGGCAAAAATAGGGCGAAATTGGCCAAAAATATGGCAAAAATTATTTGATAAATAAATCAGGGTGGCCCCTTCCAAAACACTAAAATAGGGCGCAGCCACTCAAAAATAGGGCAAAAATAGGGCGAAATTGGCCAAAAATATGGCAAAAATTAGGGAAAAGCTTTAAAAGCCTAAATATAATTAAAATTTCAAATAAGACGATAATTTGAGACTTTCGAAAGACCAATAAGTCAAATTTCTGCCATTTTTAGCGCCGCAGGCAAAAATTTTGAGGATTTTGGAGCTCAAGCAGCCAGATTTCTTTCATTTTTAGCGCCGCAGGCGAAAATTTTGAGGATTTTGGAAGGCCAGGAAGTCAGAAATCCTTCATTTTTACCATTTTTTTACAAAATCCTAAGAATTTTTAAAATTTTACAAAATGGTAAAAATAGGGCAAAAATATGGCAAATGAGAAAATAGGGAAAAAATAGGGCGAAAAGATCAAAAATAGGGAAAATCCTCTATAAATAGGGTAAAAGGGCCACCCTGAAATAAATATGAGGATAAATTGGCATTGATGGAATTAATTAAAGTCGAAATTGTAAATTCAGTTTTTTTTAAATTTTTTAAAATTTTCTGAAGCTTCGATCAAGGAGAACAGTTTAAATGCGCCTAAATTTGTTAAACCAGTCCCTAAACTTTATGACTTTCAATTATGTGAACAACTTGAGAAGAAGGTTTAATTAATAATATTTTAAAATAAATTAATTTTAGTGGATAAGTGGAATAGAAAAATCAATTCCTATGTTTTTGGGTTGTAGTGTTAAGGACGTAAATCTCGTTATTTTTGTATTGGAACAGTGTTTTGAATTCAGACAAGGTTAATTTATTCGAGGCTATATTTTCTAAAAATTCCTTTCGCCAAAATTCCTCTTTTATGGTGTTTCGCCTTTCCTTTTTAAAATCCGTTTCGTCACACTTCTGGTACAAATACTTTTCAATTCTGATATTCGCCCTGTTCTGATGTAAATTACCTGGATTTGTAGAACAATTAGTGGAAAATTTAGTCTAGGAAATTTCTAGAATTTCTTGTCCAAGCTCATGATTATTTGTAATAATTTTGAAGTTCTTACCCTCCCCCCTGTTGACCTTCTGGGATGGACCCAGAAGAAAGAGTACATTTTTAAAAACGGAATAAGTAAAATATTTCAAAGATTCTCATCTACATGAAAAACTATTTTTGAGTGACAAGGATTTAGATTTATGGCTTGCAGATCTTGGACTACTTCACAGAAAACGAACTTGTCATAAATCTGGAGGCCAAACTACTATTCATCAAATTCAAGGTAGATTTTTTTGTAGGAAACTTGCAATTGGCGTTGTACAACAATAAAAAGTAGGGGACGAGGTCTTATTGCGACCAGAATGTAGAAATCCAGAAGGTCAACACCCTAGTTGTCAAATGACCCAGAATATCATCTCCAAAAATTTACTGAATCGGCTATTCTTTCTCCTTCATTGACTTATTGTATGCCATAGGATAAATGAGTAGAGTTTAGGAAAGAAGGAATTGCCATTTTTAATACCTTGAGAAAGAAATTAGAGAGGGTGGGTACGAGCTTCAAAATTACCTTATTTTTTAATCAAGATTTTATTTAGAATTCTATTTACAATTTCCAATCATTCCAAAAAATATTGAAGAAATGAGAAATGCTCGATATTTATTTGAACAACTTTTTAGTCGTAACATTGTTTGATTTGAATTGCATCAATATATATTTAACCCACAAATGATTGAATTATTATTTGATGGAACAACGAATCTACCTTTACAACTTCATTCACAAAAGTCTAATCTATTTATTTACAAAGATTATTTCCATTCTTGTCTTTTAAATTTTGTATTAAATCATCTTACTTCTAATCAATTTACGATTTATCTTGATGATGCCATCGATGTAGGGGAATATCAGGATGTTTTATTTACAATTTTGATAAAAGGAGGAAATAAATTTTCTAAAATTTGTTTTAGAAATCGCAAATTGTCAGAGCTTTATAATCTTATTATACAGGTGATTAGATAATATTGATCATTTTCTAAATCTACTGATATCCTCTAATTAACCGATATCCCCCTTTAATGCTACAAATCAATCAGCAAATCCCGCAAAACCCCTCATAACCCTTATTCCTTTTGGATACACTGATTAAAAAGGTGAAGAAACAAAAATTTCGATGATTAAAAGGTTGTAGTGTCAGGGTCAAACAGCTTTGAGGACCTTGGAAATTATTCAGAACCCAACAGAAAATCCTCGGATATTCGTTTCGGTTTCTAACCAAAAATTGCTAGTCATAATTAAAAAATTAACTATTTTAATTTTAGAATATAGAAACATCAAAAGACTTTTCCAAAGTGGTTAGGGAAATCCTATTAGGTGATGTTTATGGACGTCTTATGTTAACTGACAGAGCAGAAAATATTGATATCAACGTTGAAAACTTCACTTTAAAATCTACAAAATATCAACTTTCCAATAAATACAACTCGGAAATAAAGTTTTCTGTTTATATTGAAGAGATTTATGTTATTAAAAATCAGCCAATTTCCAATATTGAAATTAAAAGAATTAATTGATAAATTTATTTTTCACTAGTTGTTTGTCATACATTTATTTTTTATCTTTTTTGATCTGAAGCAACTTGACTACTTTATTTTTACATTATTTTTAAATATTTTTTAAGATCACAAAATATCTGGAAGTCTAAAATTGCCGCATGCGGCCTAAATTGAAAAATTTTGGCTGCTTAAAATTGATTGGTATATATTTTGTATCAGGTTTCTTGACCCAATTAATATAATAACCCTGCCTATTAGTTTAGCAAAGCTATATTTAAGACAGAAATGATTGAATTATTATTTTATGAATTTCAAATAATAATTCAATCATTTCTGGATTAAATATAGCTCCAAATGTTAATTAAAACTTTTGAATTTTAACCTTACAAATTTAATTTAACATACATATTTCTTCTTCAACACATTCACGAATATCAAAAATATTCTTCAAGACATTCTTCAACAACCTTATATTCAATGATTAATGCCTACAGATTACAACATTTAAAGTTTATTAAAATTTCTTTAAATTATTTTATTGTTAATAAATATAGTTGAATTAATTTTTATATGTTTAATAAAAAATTTTAATTTTATGATCAAGATTGGAGTTGTCGGTCTCAAACCTATGCGAAGAAATTTGCTGAATATAGTTAGTACATGCCCTGTGTGGAGCGCAGAATAATAGAATATGAGGGGAATACTAATTAATTAATTAATGTTAGTCCTGCCGAAAAATATTCACCGCTCACTCCTTAAGAGAGTTTAAAGGGCGACGACTAATTCCTCCGATCGTGCAATAATTATAATAATAATAATTCATTCGATTGACTGACTGACTAATGACTGACTAATATTTATTCCTAGGATTATATTGTTTATGGATAGGCGGGATCGCTGGGAAAGTTAGTTTAATATTTCACAACTCCATTTCCGACTTACACCGATGACCTGAAGATTTGCGGTTTTAGTTAACCGAAGAATTTGGTAAAACCGAGAAAGTAGTCAGAATTATTAATTCATTATTGGCAGGCTTTAAACAGCTAAAAATGTTCAAGGTGAGTTTACAACACTAATTGATTCTTTTATAAAAATAACTCTGTTTGTTTCTATTCTTTACCTAATCATGTTTCTTGTTTTGACCAGATGTAAGTGAACGTACCACCAAATCCATTATGCGACAGCGAAGGCGAATAACCTGATGTAATGTATTGAATTTGCCTCGAAACCCAAACCATTCGTCAAGTTGTATAATTTCATCGTCTTGAAGGGAATGGTGATGATCCTCATCTTAGGAGTATTTTAAGAAAAAATAATTCAAACTAGTATCGTGTTAATCAAGATGAATAACTAGGACTTAACTTTTACATTCCCGTTGGAGCTGAAAAAATCGTCCCTAATCATTTATCCATATTTGGGAGTATGGTTATTAAAGCTCCTTCCAACTAAAAATCAACCAAATTAAAAAATAATAAAAGTATGGTATATCTAATACTGAGTGTATGCAAAATTGAGGTTAGTTTGCAAAACTACTAAATGTACCATTAAAAATACGTCCGTCAGAAAAACACTTACACAATGGTATCAATAAAAAATATATACCAATCCTAAAATTTGCCAAAGTTTTCGCTGCCATTCCAATTGGACCAGCAAATAATAAAACAGTAATTTGTGGAACTGCTGTAACAATTTTGATAGCGTGGTTTGTCATATAATTTTTATATTTTGCAATTGCTTCGTTAAATACAAAATATTCTGGTTCAATTTTCTCTGAATTATTTGGTGAGGTATTTGTTAATTGCTTCTTTAATGATGAACAGCATGAATTGATGATTTTGCCATACTGCAAATTTTTTTAAAAATAACTTTTAATAATTAATGAGGACTTAAAATTTTAATTTATTTTAATTTACTTTCCAGAAATTTAGAAGAAAAGTTAGTTTAGAAATGCCAATTTAAAAATAAATTAAATAGTGAATAAATAAAATAAAAAATTACGGCGTAAGAATTTTATCAAATTTGTCCCCTTTTTGCACAAAACTATAAAAAAACAAGGTTATGTAGAAAACAAATTTCATTCATACCCAATATTCGTATAAGATCCAGCAACAATTACTGCTTGTACCATTGGCCAACTATAAGAATATTTATTTAAAGACGAGTCACCCCTTCTGGGACTAAATGGCACCGTCTAAGTTCATAAATTAATTGTTTTTTAAATTTTTTAATCAAAAAATCTTTTTATTTAAAATATAAACTTTATTCCATGAATCATCCTCATAGCTTTTTCACTAACCAAATATTGGTCAAATAATTTTTCTTTTAAATCAGTTGGTTCTGATTCATAAGCATTAAATAGGCGAATTAACATTAAATGATCACTCAAATCATTTTTACAAAGTTTTTCACGAGCACTTATGGCATTACGTGTTTTGTCGTCATCAGCTTCAATTGTCAATAAAACTTAAAAAAATTTTTTAATGAAGAAATACTAGTAGGATATTCTAAAATCTTTATTTAAGTTCTGTTCATAAAAAAGAAAATGAAACTATAGAGATATTTATTTTCGATGAAAAACTTATTTAAAATTAATGCTTGTAACAAAATGAAATTGTAAAAATTGCGGATAAAAAAACAATTGCGGATACTTGCGTATCCGCAAAACGTCAATTGCGGATACGCAAGTGCGGATGTGACAATTGCGGACGCGATTGCGGATATGACAATTACGGACAACAATTTCGGATTTGACAATTGCGGATTAAAAATTTATTAAAAATTTTTAAAACGATTGAAATGCTATCCTGTTTTTTAGTCTCGGCTGTCAGTTTCAGACTTCTGTAGGTTTCTGAATCATTCTTAGACTGAGGTGTATCCGCAATCGTCGCATCCGCACGTGCGTATCCGCAATTGTCGTACCGTCGATATTATATGTATGTCTAGCAAGAGCGAAGCTAGGGGGGTCGATTTCAGGAGGGGCTAAAATTGGGCGACGCAAAGCAATAATAGCTGAGAAATATGCCCCTTATTAATTTTGATAATAATCTCTTTATTTCGATGAGAGGAATCGATTAATACTAAATTTGGTAGGATTCGAAAATTTTGAAAAGAGTTCTGGCTTTGCGTCTTTACACCCGCGCGCCATTTTGAGCGTAATTGCATAATTGCATCTTTTGAAAATTTAAAAGTACAAAAAATTAGAGTGAAAACTAACATGGATCACATATGATAAGGCAGCAAAAAGAGTAGAAAAAGGGTTTAAACATTTAAAAGAAAGCCCAAACAGCAACAATTTAAAAGAAATTTGTTTTTAAACAATTTTAAAAACAAAGAAACTTGGCTAGTTTAGTATCCAAAGGCAAATGATTTATAAATTTTCCAATTTCAGTAATCTCACAATCAGCCTCTTTTTGAGCTCTATAAGACAGATTACACTTTCTGCTCATATTCTTAAATTTGACAAATTTAGTTATTTTTATAAAAGAATCAATTAGTGTTGTAAAAGGTGAATGAAAAATATGTAATATAAAAATATCTAATGAAACCAAAAATATCTATAAATTTGAAGGATGAAAATTTTCATCCTTTAATCATTGTCAACGCATGCTTACTTAATGTTAGATAAATCAGTTTTAAATACTTTTAGTTTTTCAATCGATTACCTGGTAGAGAGTCCCTCGATTACGACGGTTTGTATTACGCTGCGTAGGAGAATAATTATAATCTGATGGAGTATTAAAATCATTCCAACTTTGTGGAGATTGGAGGGCACCAAGAAGCTTAGAAATAAATTCAAAAAATTTTGAAATAAAATTAAACCTCAAGAAATAACATGCTTTGCTCCACAATAAATTCATCAGATGGATCTGGTGCTTGTCTCAAAAATTCTTGTTTTCCAATGTTTGAAATCACCAGCTGCCTCAAGACCTCTTTCCTTCACATCCGGTTCATACAAATACAGGAGTATTTTCTTGTTTATTGCTTCATCAAGGTCCATCCTGTTAAACTCACTAATGACGTAGTTGTCGGCGATTGTCTGAAAAACATTTTTTCATTATTTTTAAAATAATTTATTTTACCAATTTTTTCAGTTCCTTTTGTTTTTTGCCATGTAATACCAGACAGAGAATCCAACGCCAATTACAACCACTACCTCAACAATAATCACAATTATTACAATCCAAACTTTACTTACTTTTTCGCTGTCCTTTACTTCCTGTACTTTAGCTGTTGGTGTAGGTGTAGTATTTCCTTGCTGTGTACCTGCCGCTGTTGTTTTAGTCGTTGTTGTAACTGTAGATGTTGTTGGTGGTGGAACATAAAGAAATTCATAGTCTGGCTTGTTCTAAAAGATAAAAAATTAATTGGAGTTTTAAAAATTTAGTTATTACAAAGCGGATGAAGAGATCACATTTTGGCTTAGTTCCTGGTTCAAACCCACTCCCTCTGGGCAACTGTGTAGCATTTGACGGAAGTAGATGAAAAACGAGCAGGCGTTTATCCTTCAGGTCTTCACCTCCATTTTTGATTTCCCATGATTCTTTTTTAACGCAGGAAAGGCCCTTCTTTGCCGCATTGTAAAGATGTTCTACTCCTGCCTCAAAATCCATTATGAAACTGTTATTGTCAAATATCTCCAGATCGAACTTGAATTCCCCCACTTTGTAATCATTTTTTTGATCCAGACCCGGCGTATATTCACCAACTAAAATGAATATTTAGAAATTTAAATAATCGTCCTCTTACTTAGATGGGTGTAAGCTTGCATCTTATCCTTGCATTTACTCCACGAAACTTCGAGAAACGTCTGATTCATACACCCTCTATCGCAATCAGATAATGTAGCACAGTCATTGCCTCCATATGTCGGACCTTCATTGAGATTTTTGAGATCCTTATTGTTTCTGCTGTAGGCAAAGGGTACGCTTAAAGATATTTGTTTAATATTTCCTGATCGGCATTTAATAAAACTTACAGAGCATGTAAGTTTGGAATTTAATTCTCAAAATGTATATCTACTGACACTAGATGAACTTTTTCTTCCAAAAAATTAATTTTTTGGTCATTTTCAGATTTTAATTTTTTATTTAATTTTTGGAAATTTTGTTTCAAATTTTTGATTTAATTTTCTTGTTCAGTCTTGAGATCTTAAATTTCCTAAAAATAATTTAAAGTGAGTAGACGGAATATTCTGGTGCTATTCTAATCAAATCTACGAGCTCTTTAACAGCGATTATAAATTTATAAATTTCAATATTGCTCGTATTCGAACAAAATTACGAGTATAAATAGTTTTTAAAAAAATATAAAAATATATAAACATTGCTCTTTAAATCTAATTGCAATTTAAAACTTTCAAAAATTAAATGAAATTTCAATCGTTCTAAATTAAGCCATACGCGGAAATGCACTATTGCTTGTAGGACCGTTAATAACTATATTTACATACTTAACTTTTTAATTTCTTTTTCCAAAAATTAATTTTATCAACATTTTCAGCTTTTAAATTTTTATTTTCTTCAACTAATTTTTGAAAATTTTCTTTTAAATTTTTTTTCATGTTCCTTTTAAAGTTTAAAATTATTATTTTCCAAAGTTATTATTAATTTTCAATCTCAACTAAAAATTTGTTTTTTAATTGACAAATAGATGTACAACACCTTTATGCAGAAAAATGGATGGTAAACACAATCATATAATTGAAATCCGCCTTTAGAAAATCAACAAAAAGATAAATTGTTTACCTCCAATTTCTCCAAACGTTTTAAACTTTTAATTATTATATTTTGTGATGAGCAAGAAGAACAGCACCATCAATACTATATGATTTCAAATTATTACTTTTTCCTGCAAAATTTTCATTTTTTTCAAGTGTTTTATCTTCAATTTTATTTTTAATATTATCAGAAATTTTTGTAATTGACCATTCTTTTAATTTTTATGGTGTTCTCATATTTTTAAAATTAATTTTCTGAAAATTAATGAAAATTTTTCTGAAAATTTGATGTTAATTCTTTTCATAGAGATAATAAAAAATTAATTAAATCAATGGGGGTTTTAGGTAATTTTTATTAAAATAATCATGTGTTTAAGTTTGGAGAATAAGAATTCTAAAACAAAAATTGAAAACAAATTCTTGAAGATCTTGATGAGTAAAACAAATTATTGCTAATTATTATAATAAACATATCGCAAGTAGAAGTACACAAACCTGCATTGTTTATGATTGTTGAAGCTGGTGACTCATGGTAAAAAAGAAAAATTGTCACCTATGTTCGAAAATAATCTTTTGTTTATTAATGTTCTGATTGAATGATGCCATAGGGGAATAAAGTGAAATTGAGAAATAAGTATCAGAAATAACCGAAAGATAACATTTTTCTTAAACAAAATTTAAATTAAAAAAAATAAATGAATAAAAAAACAACAAAATTAATATGCATATTTACATATATCATGGCTGGATTTTTTCTAGTTTTTTATTTTCCTCCGATTTTTTGAAGCAGACTTCCGCTTCCACCTTCCTTATTTTATTTTGCCTTCCTCGCTTCCGCCTTTTAAAATTCAAAATTCACCAGCCATAATTTGTATGCGTAAGAATCTTTTGCCCTGAGTTGATATGAATAGAAAATACGATGAATAAATTTGATTTATTTTCTGAGGGGATATTTTTAATTCAAAAGACGATTTAAGATAATTTTGGGAAAAAGTCAAGTAAAATTTTAAAAAATAAGAATTAAAAATACTGCCGAAGGTGCTGTAAATCGGAAATGCCAAACGGCAAAATGTCTCAGAAAAATGAAAATTCTTATGTATATAATTCCAATAATTAGTATACCCTTCCTTCATTCTATTTCCTCTAAATTAATTTTTTTAAATATTTAACAAATTTTGATTAATTTTTCATTTTTAAATAATTTAATTAACAATTCTCTAAAGATATATCGTGTATCATCAAATTCTGATTTGGAAAATATAGTAAATTTTTAAAAAATAAAAATAAATTAAAATAATTATTCAAGATATATAAACTTGGTAAAAATCTTAGTATAATATAATAAATCTCCAAATTAATTTTAACATTCTACAAACTAATTTTAAAAATCTTCAATTAAACTTTATTGAAGAAAAGAAAAGACTTTAAATCTGGAAAAGAAAAATTCTTTGCTTGAAGATCGATTGAAGGGAATGGATAAAGTTTGGATTTATTTTTGAATATTTTTTAAAATAATTTTACAAAATTAAAAAAATAAATTCGAACAATGAGAAAAGAATGGAAGAAATCAGACAATATTTTCAAAAACTTTTTGAAAAGAAATATAAAAAATTGAAAGAGGAAAATATTCAAACAGATAGGAAGATTAATTTATTGGAGTACGAAACTGAAAAAGTAATTTTTTAAACTAAAAGGAGAAATAGTCATTATTACTTAATTGTTTTATATGTTTATTTTATACTTTTTTAAATTGTCGATGTATTTTTGATTGAAGTGAAATTTATTTATATTTATCAGCATAAAAAATTCATCGAAAGGGCGTACCAATTAATTCGACAACAATGTCGTAGTGTGGCACAATAAAATTAATTAAAATAAAAACTGCATAAACAATAAAAGTCATAATAATATAAATAATAATAAAAATCACAAGTTTATATATAAACAATTTATTTTTTAAATAAATATACTCTGTACCGACCATTTTAATTTAATATCCCCTACTACTTCACTCCCCTACTTCTCCCAAAGTGCCACTCAGCTTCTTTTTAAGTTCGTCCAATAGATACACTATGGTGGTTACTGGTAGTCCTTGCCCTTCCATCTTTTTGATAGTCAAAGGAATTGCTTGAAAATTGGACTTGATGTAAGCAAGATGATTTGCAACGTATTTCGAAGAAAATGCCTCTTGTGCTTTTCTTATAGAGACTGCATCATCTTGATCAAAAGTGTCGATAACCTACAAATAGAGTAGTGTATAAATTAAAAGACATCAAAGTGACCGATTTAATAGCTCAAAAATTTTATGCATAAAAATGGCAGCCCAAGCCATGACGACAAACGAGTTAAGACAGGTTTTTATCTCTTTTTTTTAATTTCCTATTAAAAATACTTTTAAAATTTTATTATCAAACATTCTGAAAAACATTCTTATTATCAAACATTCTTAAGGTCCCTTCTTAAAAGTTTTGGCTAAAAATATTTTAAAATGTTACTATACACTACTAGGATCGGGATTGAATTTTGCAAATTGGTCGAGATCATGATCCCGTTCAACCATAAATTTAAATAAAGAATATACTTTAAATTTCATTTACTTTATTTTAATTTTGTTAATTAAAAGTTTAAAAGTTTGCTTGCATAATCTTTTGTATTATTTAACGCTTTCTTTCATTTTATTATTCATAGGTTTAATTTTAGTATTTTAATTAAATCTGAGCGCTGATACTCTTCGGAATGATATTCTTCGGAATCATCGATCTTCTAATAATTACAGGCGGTTGTTGGACAGGCGGTTGTTGTTTGGCTATATTTGTCGGAGATATCTGACCAAATATATATGTGTAATAAATACTACAAATAGAAGCATCCTAAAATATAATATTTTAAATAAACTTGGTTTTACTTAATATTAAGTTTTTAATTTATTAAAAACTAAGAAAACTCTCTAAAAAATAGGATAATATAAATAAATAGGTATTTTGTTTAATTTAATAGAAAAGGGAAAAATCTTAAATATAATTAATTAAATAACTTACTACAGTACATAAAGTAATTGCCATTTCATTAGCTATAGACACAGAAGGTGTGATTGGAACCTGAAAATTCTTTAAAAATAAAATAATTTTTAAATAAATGATATTATTAATGGATACAAAAACTTAAAAGATTTAAAAATATCGAAAAAGCTCCAGGTATAACTTCAAAAATAATTTCCATGTAAATTGCAAATTTGACCATACGATTTTTCTAAAAATAATTAATAACTTTGTTAAAAAATACTTTTCAACCAAAATCATAGCTGCGCTTTGTGATTGACTTGCAAAATGTTTTAAAGACCAAAAGAAAAAAATGCAACAAATAAGATTTGCAAATCCAAACATATTTTTAATAAAAAGTTGAAATCTATTTTGATAAACAGTCATTAAGCAATCTACATAACGACAAGTCTGTGTAGCTGCTTTAAAAATTAAATTACTATACGTTTCTATTAAATTATGATACTTATATAGACTTTATCCAATTTATTCAAATGATAGTTTATTCGAAAGTGTTTTCGAGTTTAGTTATATGAGACTAAAATAATTTAATAAATTCAAAACTATTATATATAATGGAATTTGGGTGATTAGATTGTTGTCTAGTTATTACTTTGGGAGAGCTTTAATCGTTAATAATTTAGCTTGAATTCAACCAAATTAAGTTATTTTGTCACATTCGACTCACTCGAAGAGTTCATTTGTATATAATTCAAAAATTTTTTTAAAAATTATTAAGAAATAGGATACAATCTATACATAGTACAGGATCAAGATTTCTTTTAAAATAAAATTAGTTCATAGTATAATTTAAGTAATAATATTCTTAAATATATTTTATAGCTTAAATCACATTTTAAATTTAAATTACTTCTATTTAATGGAAGTTCATTCAAATAAATTATCAAACTTATTAAGTAGCAAAGTATCAAGCAACAAGGTCCCATCCATTTAAATAGTGTTTCAAGGTATTCATTAAAATTTAAAGCGGTAGACCAAAGAATCAAACAACGATCCAACATAAGAATAAAGGTTGCAATTGGGGCACATGCAAAATAATTTAATTGCCATATTCCTGTCCAAAACAGCACAATTTGTTCTTCTGGTGAGCGCAAATCACCGGTACGTATTGTTTCGTCAAGGGATTTCCAACGAATAAATTCACAAATTGGATAGGCCAAACAAGTAAAAGTGCAAAACAAATGAAACAAAAAATATGTCCACATTGAAAAATTCCATTTAAATGCAAAAGGTTTACTTAAAACAAAATTAAGCACTATTCAACGATATGAAACCAACGAACTTTTATGTACAAGTCCTATGAAATCTGGTCATAGATCAGACAGTGACCTTTTACGGCTAATCAGTTTTTGCGTGTGATATTCAATGCCGATGTTAGAAAATAATTTAAAAAATCGAAACTATTATTTATTCATAAAAAAATTTATTGGACGCATAAAAATTCCATGTGACTCATAAAAGTTCATTAGAAAACTTGTTTAGGGCCCAAATTTTTTTAAATATTTTTTAAAGAAAATCTTACATAATATTTTCATATTTTAATTTTCAAGATATATGTATATTATTTATTATATATAGGGTTGGGGTTTTCGAGTCGGGCCGACGTTCGAGTCATTCTTTTCGGGCATCATTTTTTTCGGGCGGCCCGACCGAGTCTTTTTCAGGCCAAAATTAAATGCCCGACTCGATCATTCGGACCGGGCCGGATCGGGCCTAAGTATTTACATATTATTTACTTTTTAACTAAGAAAATTAGTTTTGAGAGTAAAATAAGTATAATCAACTGAGCTATAATTAATGGTATCATAACAATAAATACATAAATTAATTCAAATGGTTTATTAGTGGTTATCCAGTAATATCTAATTGCTGGAGATGTTGAAATAATATTAGGACTAGTTGTGGTGTTTGATAAAATTAAATTAAATGATGAATTGGACATTTTTATATTTCTAATTTTAAATATAATATTTAATAATAAAATTATTAAAATTGTTTGTGAATAAAAAATTTATTAAAATTTGAAAAATATAAAATATAAGATATTTAGCTTTACAAATTTACGTAATTATGAAATTAAAATTTTGAATTTTTAAAAGAAGTAAAATAATTAGGGCGTAAAAATTATTTTTCTATTTTTAGTAATTATTAAGTACATTATGTCTAAGACACTAATACTAACACAGATATTTTCAAATTTAATCACTCATTCATAACCAATTAAAAAATTTATTTAATGACTTCTTTTTGTGTTTAATATATTGTTACATTAAATTACCTATTAATTTTTTACATTTGAATAAATATATTTCCTACCAAGCTTTAACAAGCTTTTTTTTAAAAGCAAATAATTTTATTATTTTTAAAAGTTATTATAAAAATAAATTAAATACAGTACGTTGCATATGTTTACGGACAAAGGCACTAAAAAATGAAAATCCAAATTAATTTGAAAAAATAAATTTATGTATAAAGTATTTTCTATGTATGTATTATCAAAGTTATATGGATAATGGGAGGTTTATACCAAGACGATTTGTGTTAACATTATAAAATTTTTTACTTTTTGATAGATTAATATATAAATACTGTCCTACTAAATTTGACTTAAAACGGATCGGCATTTTACTTTTTTCAAAGTAACAAAATAACAATCAACAAATTCGTGCATAATGGAAATTTAATAACATTGGATAAATAATGAAATTAATTAGATAAAAAAAAGATACATTAACCAGACACGCAAAAATACAAATAAAAACAAATTTTTAATTTTACCTTCTCATTATTTATCAACTAAAACCAAACTAATTGCTTTATTTAACAAGATATGTAAAAGTTTTAACACGCAATATAAATTAAGTCAATCATAAAGTGCAACAATTATTACATACATTTTTTAAATTATTTTTTATTTAAAAATCTTAAAGCTTTGTTATTTGTTTTAAGATATTTATTTTAGCTACTTCTTTTCGAGTAATTTTAGAAATTTTAAATTACAAACTACCGTATTTTCTCGATTAATTCCCCTCCCTCGAATAATTCCCCCTCACGATTAATTCCCCATGCCAAAGAATGGTCGAAAAAATAATTTCCCAGGGTATTAATCGAGAAAATACGGTAATCACTAATTCACTTCTATTTAATTATCATCTTTATCTATGTTAATTAATTACCAGTGCTTCGAAGCTCGTACCAAAATTCGTACTCGTACCTCGTACTCGTACTCGTACCTGGTACGAAGTACGAGTACGAGTACGAGCAAAAAAATTGGGCAGGTACGAAGTACGAGTACGAGGCCAAAAAAAAGTGAAAAGTACGAGTACGAGGCCTAAGTACGAGCTCGTACTTCTCGTACTTGGTGTTAATAGGAAAATTTAAAAAATATATTTAATTCCTTTCATTCTCCATTATATGAGCGAGTGGCCGAGTGGTGAAGGCGCTTGGCTGCACCAAAGTCTATAATGATTTAATATTGGGTTCGTTTCCTATTCACTGGACAATGATTTTAATATTTTTCTCTTCATAAATAACTTTTTTAATTTTTTTTTAAATTATTGTATTTTTACTTGGATTAATTATGAGATTTTGACCATCTAAAATTATTAATATTTTTTTCTTTGCACACTAAAAGTGAATTTTTTTCGCCTACGGCCTTCGGAAATTTTCAAAATTTTTGCCTGCGGCGCTGAAAAAATAAGAAAGGTGGCTTATTGGCTTCCAAATTCTAAAATTTTCGCCTTCGGCGGTGAAAAATGAAAGAAATCTGGCTTCATGGCCTTCAAAATTTTTCAAAATTTTCGCCTGCGGCGCAAAAATAGAAATCTGACTTAAGGACATCCAAAATTCTCAAAATTTTTGAAAAAAAGGATTTGAGATTAAGAGGGATATAAGGAGATTAAAATGTGAAAAGTTCAGTGGAAAAGATAAAAAGTTCCATGTAAGAAGATGAAAAATGGATGCAAAAATGTCAGATCTTGGGTAGCCTGACCTATCTTGGTGACAATATTTCTCCTCGCACTCCAGAATGCTCAAAAATTTTGCCTGCGGCGCAGAAAATGGATTATATTGGAGGATTTATAACTTCAAGGCCTTCCAAGATTCAAAAATTATCACATAGAACGCTTAAAATTTAAAACTAGATGCCCTGGGCTCAAAAAAATCATTAAAATTTTCGATTTTTTGCTTTTACCTCAAGTACGAGTAAGTACGAGGTACGAGTACGAGGTACGAGGCCAAAAATAGGGGTGGTACGAGGTACGAGTACGAGTACGAGCAAAAAAATGGGGGTGGTACGAGGTACGAGTACGAGTACGAGGCCAAAAAAAGAGGTGGTACGAAGTACGAGTACGAGTACGAGCAAATTTGAAATTTCGAAGCACTGTTAATTACCAAAAATTCAAACAAACAAAAGTTTAAAAATATAAAATGGAATTTATATTATGGAATCGTGAAAATTTTGATAAAATTTATAATTGTACAGGAATTAATGTTGATGATATTCCGATTGAAAAAAGATATCCAATAACTGCAATTATTTGTATATTACTTGGATTTATATATTATGTATTTTTTATTTAGATTTATTTTTTTTTAAATTATTTTTAAGCCTTTATATTTTCCTTGTTTTTACTCTTTTTGGAAGAATAGAACAAAAAATCCTTGTTATATACTTTTAATTTATCTTTCATTAATGGATATTTGTATACTTTGGGTGCCAACTTTTGCAGTTGGAATTTTTAGTCTAAATGGGGTTGTCTATTGCTCTTCCCCTTTTTTAACTTATTTTGTTGGTTCTGAGGTTTTATGTATGTTTTAATTTTTATGATTAAATATTGTAGGTAATAATTAGGGTTGCCTTTTTATAGTCGGCTCGACGGTTGAGGCATATTATCGGGTCTTGTTTTTGTCGTGTAGGGTCAAACGAGTCACTTTCGAGCATAATTTCGAGCATAACAAGTCACTAGGAAAGTATAACGTATAACCCACAATATAATTATTTTTTTTTAAGCCTTTATATTTATAAGTTAGTTCAAAACTACTATAAGTTAGTTCAAAAAGGAAGAAATAGAGACTTGTATTGTCTCACTCAAACGACACTATTAACATATTATGTATTATCAGTGTGTGTATTATCAGTTATATTTCACTATTTTTTCGAAAATAAAATTGAGTTGCTTTTGTAAAAAAATTTTTTTATACTTCAGTGTTATGGCCTCCTGAATGTTCTGCAGACTTGGTTCTTTAAATTAATTAAATTTTAATTAAAAGTTTACCCAAATTTAGGGGATTCCTTGTACAAGTAACACAGCACGTCAATTATAGCGTACTGGCGATGGCTTTACCAATGGAGTATTTAATAATTCAAGACCGGGATACCTTTATCCTTAATCAGTATAGCTCTGATTTTGGTCAGTTCCTCAGGATTGTTTGGTAACGGAATAAGTTGAAAGCGTCCTTGGTTCTGTTTGGTTAGCCTAAGGTCCCCATCTGGTCAATCCGAAATTCACCAAATTTTCGCCTGCGGCGCTGGAAATAGATAGAGATTGGAAGAGATTCCTTGTACAAGTAACACAGCACGTCAATTATAGCGTACTGGCGATGGCAAGAGAGAGGAAAGAGATAGAGAAAGAAATTTGAGATTGGGTTCGACGCCCGATCTCCGAATTTTCACCAACCTCCTTCCCCGTTCCTAATTTTAAGTCGCATCATAATTTTACGTGATAACGGGTATATCTAGGGATTTGGAGGAATTAAGGAAATTTAATATGGAGGATTAGGAGAATATCAGCAGATTTAAAGATATAACGGAGATATCAGGGGATTTAAATGGATAACGGGCATTATGGGGTCAGATCCGCCAGCAGGTCTAAATAAAACTATAAAATATCAAAGTTAATAATTAAATTTAGATTTATTTTTTTAGATTTTGGGAATAAATCGTTGTTTAGAAATTGCATTTCCAAATATTTCAAAAAAACTTTTTCATAATAATCGTGTTTATATTTGGCTTATTTTTTGTAGTTTATATGGACTTTATTGGTTTATATTTAGACATACTTATATTTTTAATGGAATAAGTTTTGCATTTTATTATGATCCATTAATTGAATATAGACCTTTCAGAATTGAATTAGTAATTTTTAAATAAATAAATAAATAAATATTTATTTTATAGTTTGAACAAGATTTATTTCAATTAACG